GATGATTTTGAAGACTACATCTCCTGGAAGGGATTTGTCAAGGAGCCACCTTCATCACATACCCTGAATATACTGCCTTACATGGGACCCAAAGAACACACAGGGTGTCTTGGCCAAGAGATAGATGGATCTGGGCTTGACTCATTTGCCAAAACTATTTTTCTGGGTGTATACAGATTTTTGTTTTTAAGCTGGTTACTCAGAAATTGGCTGTGCCTACCAGACAGGCTTGGCCTCTCTTCCTCACCAACCCTCTTATAAAAAAGGAAAAGGTTAAATTAGAGGATGAGTAAAACAAAGGCTCTCTGCAGCTCCAGGCTCAGTTATCAGAACAGAATTGTGGTTGCCAAGGAGCCTGGGACAGATATGTATGGAGAGCTTTAGAGGACAGCACCAAGTGACACACAGAGTATCATTATCTTGCCAAATGTTATTCATGTTGTATCTGTTCCATCAGACACTTCTGTGTTCTGTGACCTTGGACAAGATACTGCCAGCGAGCTGTTTTGAGGGCAAATAAAACACCTGTCAAAGTCTCCAGCCCATCACGCGGGGTATTGTAAGGACAAGATGAATATTCTTTCATGTGCTTCTGTTCTCCCTTCTTCCCATGGAGGGTGGCTGTGGCTCTCTGGCCAGGCCCTCACTCATTTGGATTTGCCTCATTTGGAATTGGTGACTCTTTGACTTGGGCATGTGGAGTTTCCTCTGCACTATTTTAAATTCTGGAATGCTGGGGGATTGAAGCTCGTGGGCCTGAAAGATAAAGCTTGCAAGCGCTTGTTGAATGGAGTCACCTCCCCAGAGCTGGACAGGACATACAGGGTTCATCTAGATCATCCTGCTGACCAACACAGAAGTGTTCTACCATTTCTAGGGCAGGTTGTCCTCTCCCTCTGCCGAACCCTTGTTCTGATCAGAAGAGCTCATTACCTAACCGAGGATTCCCCCCTCCCCTTCCAACTTTGGCAACAAAAACTTCTAGTTACTCATTGAGTATTCGGTAGCTACTGAGGAAGAAACATTTTGCAAGGCAAAATACTTTTGTAACACAGGATTTCCAAAATATTCCTGGGACTCAAATACATATTCATTGATCCCCTACTGTGTCCCAGGAACCATCAGAAGGGCAGTGGATATAAAGATGAATGAGATAAGAGTAATTTCTGTTCTCAGAGAGCTCCTTTTTCAGTAGAGGAGAGAGACACATAGATTGCTATAAAATAATGCTAGAAATAGCTGATAGACAGATATACAGGCTATTATGGAATCACCAGGGAGACACACCTAACTCAGCCTGAAGGGAGGCATTCCGCAGAGACTTCCGGAAGGTGAGGCTCAAGCTGAGACTTGAAGGGAGAGCCATATTTTGTAGGCTAGATGGGCTTATATCAATAGACGTTATGAATTTGAATCAGTTGTGTGCATTTACAAAAGCATGCATAAAGGGCATTTACATCTAAACTTTGTGTTAGCTGTTTTGATCTAAAGTTATAAAATTATATTTAAAAAAAACTAATAGTTTGGACTTTTCACTATAGACCACTGGCTTTCAAACTATATTCTAGAAATCCTAGGATTTTTTTTGAGGTCGGGGGTTATTACGGACCTTGGTAATAACCAAGGGGCAATAGAGGCTGAGCACTCAGAACTCAGACCATCACCAAGACAGCTTTGCTGTTCTTTCTGTTATATTTATTGCTGTTGCATGTAACTATGTTTCATTAGAGATGGGGGTTCTGATATTAACTTATGTTTCAAACTACAAAGGAAAACCAACTCCCCAGTGAAGCAGGTTTCACCGAGTACTTGCCATCTAAGACTAATTTATCCAGCTGGGTACTTTTAAAGCAAAGTACCATAGGGGCGCCTGTGTGGCTCAGTTGGTTAAGTGTCCTACTTAAGCTCAGATCATGATCTTGTGGTTTGTGAGTTTGAGTCCCATGTCAGGCTCTGTGCTGACAGCCTGGAGCCTGCTTTGGATTCTGTGTCTCCCTGTCTCTCTGCCCCTCCCCCGCTCACACTCTGTCTCTGTCTCTTTCAAAAATAAATAAAATGTTAAAATAAAATAAAAAAAATAAAGCAAAGTACCAAAAAATACTCCCATCCCTAGTTATCTTTGTTCTGCAACCATGACCCTTACACTTCCCCCCAGGCAGCAACCTTGCAAAACAAAGTGGAGATTTGAAAAAATGTATCTCTACCCTGAAGAAAATGTCCTTAAGGAACATAGCTTATTAATGGTGGGATCTTCAGGGACAAAGACAACAGCTATTATTCTTTAGAAGAAATTTCATTATAGCAAAATACCTTCCTATGGAATGGATTTGCTAAGTTCTATTTATAAATCAATACTTTAAGTAACATGTGAAGTAAAAATCTGTAACAGTGAATAAAATGGGTTGCTCCTTCACGTTCATTACTTTGGGACTTTTCCAGGAGCGCACATTTCAAAATACAAAAATGCTTCTCTTTGATTCCGAACCCATGATGAGAGCCTGGTTTTCTGACAAGATTGTCACCTTTCAAATGCATGTGTCGCTATCAAAAACATGGTAACTTGTCACAGCTCCTTTAGCTTCACCGAAGATTTTCCTAAATCATTACACCATGACTGCCCTTGCACATCACTATAAAGCTGGGTTGAGAGAAGCAGATCCAGTCTTAGATGAGAAGAAAATAGGAGCGGCTGTTCCGGTTCTATCGGAAGTCAACCAGAAAGCTAGAATGAGTCCTGCACTAATGAGGTGAATGCACTGAAATCTGAAAATTAGCTGGTTCTGTTGAGCAATTCACCAGAGGCTGTTGCTGCTTAGACACCAGCATTTTTCCTAGGAAAATCTAACAAACTTCGGGTATGGCCACCAGGGGAAAGGAAGGGTGGAAGATGTTACTGCTAAGACTTCCTTACTGAAAAACACCCCTTCCATTGCTGTGGGCTGGTGCCTCCTTCTGTCCCCAAGGCAAAAGGCTAATTCTGCTTGTGGGTCAACATTCAGCTGAGTCCGGAGTGGCATCACCTGTTAGAAGCAAGTGTCAAGGAGATTACTTTCCCACTGCTAAGTTGTTTGGACTTATAACATGAGGACTGTTTCAAAAACCTACTTATGGGGTTTCTAACCTGCTCATCAGGGCAACAAATAAGCTAGTCAGCCAGTTGATAGGATTCGGGCAGGAGGAATGAGTGCAGAGAAGAGCTGAGAGCAAGACACAGTGAGGAAATCCCACAGCCTGCTAATTCTTCTTTTCCAGACTCAGTTTTCATAAAAGGTACTTCCTTGATGGAAAACTCACTGCCTCGTGACACAAGTTTGGTTCACTTAGTAAGTCTATTTACCATGATTAAATGTAGGCTCAAGGTTTAATTATAAAGAAGTTATTGATAGTTTTATTAGTGGTGAGAATGTATGATGATTATGTAAAAAAAACAAAAAACCCTTATCAGTGGATACGTAGTAATGTGCCACGAGGCTTTGGACTTTCTTTAATGTTTATTTATTTTTGAGAGAGAGAGAGACAGAGCGTGAGCAGGTGAGGGGCAGAGAGAGAGGGAGACACAGGATCTAAAGCAGGTTCAGGCTTTGAGCTGTCAGCACAGAGCCTGACACGGAGCTCGAACTCACAAAGTATGAGATCATGACCTGGGCGAAGGCAGGCGCTTAACCCACTGAGCCACCCAGGCTGCCCCTGGACTTTAAGATAATCCAGCAAAAATGACCAATGGGAGAAGATAAGAAAATGACACTGGCAGTTGCAATGGGTGATGGGTACATTGTATTAAACTCTCTACTTTTGTGCATGTTTTATATTTTTTATGAGAAAAAGTTACATGATTTAAAAAATAGGTCTAAAAAGCCACATCATGACAATACTCTTCTAGGAGCTTCCCATGCAAAAATGGAGATAGGCTTAAATGCCTACCACTAAATGTCTACATTTTGATTCAAAAATATCATCCGTTGGAGGATCCACCATTCATTTGATAATTGTTTTTTTTCCAGAGGAAAAGAAACACACAACATTGAAATACACACTGATTATAAACTATATCCCAATTTCAGAATTGTTAAAAAGGTGGAAAACATGCCTTAGAATTGAGGTCACCTGGTCAATTCGTTGTCAATTGTTTCCTTCTTTTTTTTTTTTTGAAGTAAGTTCTATGCCCAACGAGGGGCTTGAACTCAAGACCCTGAGATCAAGAGTCCCATGCTCTAGGGACTGAGCCACTCAGGCGCCCCTTGTTGTCATTTTTTAATAGGAATTACTGTTGTGTTAAAAGGCCAAGTTTGAAAATAACGGTGTGAACGGCATCCGTTATTTATTTTATATATTCATAAATTATTTTAACCCGTTAAGTTGAAATTTGTGTTAACTAACTTGGTGGCTGAGGGTATGCCTCCCTAAAACCTAGGAGAGAAAGGCATGCTAAATAGGCTTATGAATGTTAATAAGCATGGTCCCTACAGGCCTATGCGTTATTGACCTTGTTTTCCTATCATACGTTAAGGAAAGTAGTAACACTGTACGATTATAAATGCCCAGTGCACCTGCACCGGTGGCCCTGGACACTCGTCAGAATTACTGCTAATTCCCTGAGCATCGGCACCCATTTCAGCATCCCCTTGGGAAAGAGGAACAGTTGTAGGAACTTGAGCCCCCCTCACGCCCCCGCCCACCCGGACCCCGACGCTGGCTGAGCTTGGTACTTTTCAGAGAACAATCTAGAGCTAGAGGGCGCGGGGCTAGAGCCGGCGAAGGTGTTACGTCCGCCCAGCGATTTGCCTCTTCTGGTGCAGCGCGGGGGCGTCTGACGCTCAGCTGGACTTGTCCAGTGTCCCACACGGTGCCGTGGGGGTGGGGGTGGGGGTGGGGGTGGGGGTGGGACTGCAGGGCTGGACGCGCGAACCCGGCCCGGAAGGGACCGCCGGGGGTAAAGACGCCGCGTACGCCCGGCCCGAGCGAGCGCCGGAAGCGCGAGTGCGCGGCGCGCGTTTACTTACTGTCTTCCGGCAGGTTGTTTTCCCGCTCTTCTCGCTCCATCTGCTGGCACCACCCTTCCATGCGGTCCCGCTCGGCCTGGAGAAGCTTCAGAAACCAGTGGCCGTCCCGGTGGCACACTGACCTCTGGACGGCCTCCAGGGGGTCTTCGGTGATCGAGTCAATCCAGGGATCCGGGGGAGGCAGAATCGAAGGGTCAAAATCCGCATCAAAGTCATCGTCGGCCGCACAGGCGTGGTAGTGGTTTCCTGAGCCCTGGATGCTGACGGTGGAGGTGCTGGCGTCCCGGGAGAACTGTCTGGCCATTGGGCCGGGGCACGAATTGTCCTCTATAGACTCCAGAGAGTTTTCCAGATTATCGTGGAAGTCCAGGTCGGCCTGTACGGCTGTCGTCACGCTGTTGGATCGAGTGAACCTGCGGAAGCTTGGAGGAATGGAGAACGAGATTGAGTTCAAGGCTATTTCTCGAAGCAAAAGCATTTCTACTTTTCTTTGTAGGTGTGACGAGAGGGGGTCCCACCCTCTCAGTCTGGGAGGTAGGTCTTTGACGCAAGCACATCGGTTGCCATAGCACATATATACGTATCAGAAGTCTCTCATTTTTGTTCAGTACAGTAGTAAAGCATCTCTAGAAAAATGTTGGAAGCAACGTGTGTAGCTATCAAAGCCAGTTAAATGTCCACCGACCGACTTCCTCCACAGATCTGAGGTGGCTTGAATTCTGATATTCAGGTTGTTGAAGAGCAAGGAAACAATTCAATTATATCTGAGTCTGCATAATTTGCTTAGAAATTGGGGAAACAAAAGGAGCCAACCTGGTGCAAGCCTATTGTGAATCCCGCATAACCACATGTTTTTCTAGGGACAGCGCTCCCAAAGTTAGACTTCCTGAAAGCAAACTAAAATGTCATTAGGTTCTTCTTAAAATTACAGCTCCTTTTCCTGGTAAGGATTCATTCGCCTGTCTCTTGATCGAAAATGTCATTGTTATCATTTGGCACAAAGCCTTTGGAGCAAAATTAGCTCACAGTTCTAGAGTTCTCTGGTACCATTTTCTTGTGCACCTCTAATTTCCCTTCCCACAGTCCTTGTACCAAGACGATAAAAGACAACTTGTTCACAGACTCAGTCTGAGCATTTTATAAGGATATTCATGTCATCGGTGTTTCTCAACCAGATAGCTCTCTGTACATTAACCATTGACTGGGTCAATGAAGGTGAGGGCATATGGAAGGTGGGAGGGGTGGAGAAGAACAGAGGAGCAGCGAATTCTTTCTCAGACAAGGGGTAAGGGGAGGTGTGGGCCTGAAGTAATTTAAAACACATACAAAAACCTTCATTGGCTCCTATAGCAGGCAGGCAACGATGACAGAGAATGTAAGTCTACTGAAGGCAGCGTCATGTGCCTATTACCTACGCTGGACTTAAAAAAAAAAAAAAGTTTATTTATTCATTAGAGAGAGAGCAGGGAGAGGCTTCATGCCAGTGGCACAGAGCCCAATGTGGGGCTCGAACTCACAAACTGTGAGATCACGACCTGAGCCAAAGTCAGATGCTTAACCAATTGAGCCACTCAGGTGCCTCAGTACTCTTTTATTAAGGTGACTTGATCTAGTATTTTTATTTCTTATTGTGAAAAAATATACATAACATTTACTACTTTAACCATTTTTAAGTGTATGGTTCAGTGGCATTTAGTACATTCACATTGTTATACAGCTGTTACCATCATCTGTCTCCAGAATGTTTTCATTTTTCTCAGTTGAACTCTGTACCTATTAAATAGCTCCCCATTGTCCCCTTCCTCCTAGCCTATGTCAACCATTCTCTGTCTCTATGGAATTTGACTTCTCTGGGTCTCTCCTGTAAGTGGAATCATAGTGTATTTGTCCCTTATGACTGGCTTATTTCACCTAGCATGGATGTCTTTTTTTTTTTTTTAAGTTTATTTTTGAGAGAGAGAGTGGGGGGGGGGGAGGGGCAGAGAGAGGGTTAGAGAGAGAATTCCAAGCAGCTGTCAGCACAGAGCCTGAGATGGGGCTTGAAATCAGGAACCATGAGATCATGACCTGAGCCTAAACCAACAGTTGGACGCCAAACTGACTGAGCCCCAGGTGCCCCGCACCTAGCAAAATGTCTTTAAGCTTCTTTTAGGCTGTAGCATATGCCAGAATTTCCTTCCTTTTTAAGGCTGAATGATACTCCGTTTTCTGTATATACCACTGTTTGTTTATCCATTCATTTGTAGATGGATGCTTGGGTTGCTTCCACCTTTTATCTATTCTGAAGAATACTTCTTTGGACATAAGTGTACAAATATCTCTTTGGGACTGCGTTTTCCATTCTTTTGGGTATAAACCCAGAAGAGAAATTACTGTATCATGGAGTAATTCTATTTTTAATCTTTTGAGGATCTACCATACTGTTTTTCATCACAGCAAATCCAGTTTTTCCCCTAGAAGATAAAGCTTAAGAACAAAAGGTGGCTGCACTATCGATCTGTGTTAGTTGTCAGGATGATCAACATAAATCAAATATAGTGTGATTCTGGCCACTCGTCTTAGGAAGATAGACTAGTCAAAAAAAAAAAAAAAAAAAAAAAAGCTGGCCTATCTCATCGTTTGCTGTTTTCAAGAAATTACTTCTGTTGAAGGTATTTTACCTGGTCATTTTGTAAGTTCTTTAACTCTCGAGTGAGCCATTAAACAAAACAAAGAATCACATAGTGTGAAAGTCTGAAAGCCACGCTACAGATGTGTTGTGTTGGAGCACAAGAACCATTTTGCTAACGTGATTCTTACAAAAGCCACTTATGTCTGGGCTGCATTAGGCCTTTTCTGCATTCTTCTTGTCATCCTCCCCCCCCGCCCCCCCCCATGTTAAATGTCATCTCCTGAAGCTCAGCTTTCTTTGCAGACGCAGATGTGTGAATTGGATGCCTCTCCTTGCAACAGATGACATTCTGGCTGTTCTACTAACACCAAATCTCAACTATGAAAACACTGGGCTTTGCTCTCCAAGATCACGTATTGCCAGAGGCATTACATTTTCCAGACTTAAAGAAGTGCCTTATTATTTTTTTTTTTTTTCATTCACAGCAAACTTGCCAGAGACAGTCTGTTCCACACACAAAACACAGTGACCTCTCTGGTGCCTCTGTTTTTACCTACACAAAGCCGTACCACCAGCATTCTTGACAGAGGGCTCCTGGCTCTGAATCCTGTAAAGTATCCACCTTCTTAAGAAAAATGACTTGGCAGCAGATGAGTAGAAGTTTGCAGTTTAGTCACCCAGAAAGAAATAAAAGTTAAGGAAAATTAAAAAGGTTTGGGATTAAAAGCGGTGCCTTTGAACTCAGGCAGCCCTGTCCCAGCCGCCCTGTTTCTCTCAATTAAGTTCCTTAAGCAAGTGCTTTCTTCCACCCAGAGCTTTCAAAGAATGTTCTGCCCTGCGAAACGTTTCATGTCTTTCAAGTGCAAAGTTCCTTCTGAGTGAAAACACAATGAAGTTGTTATTGCTGGTTTAGAATTTTGATAGGAACACAAGAGGGGTCGTTGGATGAATTTCTGTATTTTTCAAAATGAGTGGCTCAGTGGTTTGAACGTCCACCTCTGTTTCCACTCAGGTCTGGATCTCGAAGTTTGTGGGTTTGAGCCCCCGAATCGGGCTCTGCACTGACAGCCTGGAGCCTGTTTGGGATTCTCTCCCTCTCTCTCTCTGCCCCTCCCCTGCTTGCTCTCTATCGCTTTCAAAAATAAGTAAGTAAACACTTAAAAAAAACAAGAATAGATCAGTTGCTGGTAGATGGTATAAACCCATAAGCTGACCCCAAGGGCTTGTCATTTCCCAACCTACAATGCCCAGCTTGAAGCTTCCTAGTACTTCACGCCCTGAAGGCACAATGTATAATCATTAGAACTTTGGTATAGGACCGGCCAATACTCTGGCCTAAGGAGCAGCAAACCATGAAACCAAAGACTGGATCAACCAGTATGGGGCACAATACTCTGTTTTGAACAGCAAGAGGGAAGCCACTTGGCCGCATTCACTCTGCTGTTGTTCTGTGCACTTTCTATGAAGCACGTTTATATGTGTAAGAGGAAGACTGTCTGCCGCCCACCCTCTCACGGCGACTTTCCTGTACAGCGGGTTACAAATCAACACATAGATGGTAAATGATGGGGCTGCATTTAAATAAAGTTAAGTCATGAGCAAAATAAACAAAACAAAACAAACACAACAAAACAACAAAACCTAAGTGCAGTCAGTATCTTTAGGACTTGCGAGGTGTTCAACTGAGACCTAAGCCATAAACTTATCTCGAGGAGACGAGCTCAGTCATTCTGTTACTGAATCCGCTAGCCTCTGCTTATCGTCTTCATCCCTCTCATTCACGTAATGGTTGCTCTCCAGGGCTAACTCTAGTTTCAAAGGGAGAAACACTAGTTCTGTGCTGTTTGTACTTTGTGGGAGGCTTTAGACATTCTTCACTAAGCCCGCTGTCAAGGCTGAATAGATGTGGGATCTGAAAATGCTACTTTTCAAAAGTGCAACCATCTGGGTATTTTGTGAAATGGCACCCTTTAGCTGATGTAAAAACCCAAGACGTCTCCTTATATAAAAGATAGATCAAAAGAAAGGTGTGGGAGTGAGAGGAGATTGAGATCAAGAATTAAAACTGGCTAAAAACGAGATTCTCTCTTGTCAGATCAGCTTCCCAGTTAGAACAGCGCATGGAGGAACCTAGGCGGAATGCAATCCCCTGTCACGAATTCAGTGGGAAGGGACCCTCCCACTAGCACCGTCCTATTGACAGATTTTAAAGCTACCTCACGGGGTGTCTGAGTGGCTCAGTTAAGTGTCAGACTTCAGCTCCGGTCATGATCTCATGGTTCATGAGTTTGAGCCCCACATCAGGCTCTGTGCTGTCAGCTCAGAGCCCAGAGCCTGCTTTGGATTCTGTGTCTCCCTCTCTGCCCCTCTCCTGCTCTGTCTCTCTCTCAAAAATAAATAAACATTAAAAAAATATGTATCTTTAAGACTACGTTAAAAAAAAAACTACCTCAAAACAAGCATCCATTGTTATTCAAAATCCGCTATGTCCATTCTTTTACCTAAAGATCTCTTTCAGCAAAGGAACACAGAATAAGTTTTCTACATAAAGATTCCCTCTGTTCCAAGTATTGTAATGCATTTACCAATTAAAGGGAAGAAACCGACAGTATTGACAGTGGGCTTGTGTTCATTGGCTAGCTAGCTTCCGAGAGGACCTGGCATGTTGCCAGCTTCCTTTCAGTACCAGCTGGGCAGGTGCTAGTATCCCTGATGGGCTGTCACTATAAGAACCTTGGTTAGGAGTCTCAACAAAACATCCTCCAACGTCCTGCACCCCAGCAACCAGAGCATTTGGTCACTCCTTGACTG